ATGAGTCGCTTGTTCGGTTTAGTATACTGTATTATTAAAACGTGAAGGAGCCCCGATAGCCTAGAGTTAGGGCGAAGTACTATTGGATAAATCTAAACCTGTAAAAGCTGTACATCTTCTCCACCGATAAAAATGATAGAATAGTATAAAGTAATAACAAGAATTATTTTCATGATTGCATTAGTATAACAATAATGATTAAATTAGTATTGCAATAACTAAATTAGCATAATAATAATTAGGCTTAGGATAATTATGCATTTAAAAATGGCTAAATATGCATGCAAATATGCAGTAAAAACTGAGAAAATATGCACTTAAATATACACTTTAAAATATGTTAATAAATAATAACTACTAAGTTAATAACTCCTTTTCTGTACATTTTCTCAGTAAATTTACTTTCCCAGACAGGATGTCGCCGAAGTAGGATTTTTTAAAGAAGGATTAAATACAAAAAACAATATACTGACATAAAGTAATTTATTAAACAATACTGAAAAAAGTATTTTCCTTTTAAGAAAACAGAACAAAAGAGTGTCATCTATACCCTGCCTGGCTGAACACGAACCCATCACGTACAGTTCTTGTCCACTGACCAGCCCATCACGGCCTAGCTAACCACAGCCTAATGTTGAGCTATATAAACGTCACTTAAGTATGTTCCTTTTGGATATTATGACGCTAAAACAAAATCGCGTATTTTCGATTTTGTATTAGTGCAACAAAATTGACATTTATTATATTTCAAATATCAGTAATTTCTGCCCCAGCGTTGCTGTTATGCTCGCGAATTTTTTGACCCTTGAGGTTGAAGAATGTTTTATAATATTTTGGAATTTTCCAAATATATGCCTTATAAAACAAAAAAATATGAATATGCACTTAAGCTGAAAAATGGCTTAAATATGCATTTGCATATGAACATATGCAAATGCATAATTATCATAAGCCTAAATTAATAATGATAACTACAGGTAGATTGCACTTGGGTGGTATACTAACTCGAGGATGCATATTGTACCTGTGTTGTTCTTCAGTTATGTTGCCGACAACCTTTTTTCAGACATTAAAAAGCGTTACATACAGCCTTACTCACGCGATTTTATCAGTTTGGGTTATATGGATTATCATTAGTATTTCTAATAGCTTTGTAGTAGTAACAGTATTTAGTAAATAGTTGGTACCTGTAGTCAACATTTTCGTAGTTTTTTGAGACCATTGTCCTATAATAAAAATTACTGTTGGGAAGACAAAGACTAGGATGGAAGCACGAAATTAAATTTGTGGTTCGTTTAGAATGTGGTCACACATCCCATAGACAGGATGATGAATTTTATTGATTGAAGTGAGTTCTTAGGATCAAACCAGTGGTGAAGAGGATAAAAGTAAAGTAATCCCCTAGGACAGGAAGCAAGTATCGTGTCCACTCAGCCACTATACGTACCCATTACTGTGTGCACCTCCCTGGAGTAATTCATGGTTCTGCCTCTTTTGACTCCCCAAATGCAGTTTTGTATAATTGCCACTGCTGGAGTCATTCTCATTTAGGATTACCATGCACGTCTTCATATAAGTTTCTATGAACATTGAATTTGAAGTGAAAAACTAGATTTTGACGAAACTTAGTCTCATGGTTGTAACCCAACAAGATGCTGTACCAAATTAGATTTATAATCAATTACTCTTTTACGTTTATCCTCTTTGCCATCGAACTGCTCGTTAGCCGCTTGGGCGGTCGGTCACGTCTCTGTTACGCACTGTTGGCAGATACTGGGCATGCACTGGCTCCTGAATATATCGGAACCTGCTCCAGTGTTGGTCAAGTCTGGTCTTGAAAGAGCTCACACTCGGTGCCGTCACAAACATTCTCTGGCAGATTGTTCCAAGAGTTCACAATTCTCACCCCGAAAAAGTTTACCCTCACAGTTTTCTGTACCTGTGGCTCTTCACTGTCTGTTTGGTTCTTAATTTCCCTGAATTTGGCATCGTCAGCAAACATTTTATGGAGGAGTGTATAGCTTCTGGTATGTCATTTATGAAACAAACAAAACTCAACAGGCCCAATACACTGCCCTGTGGTACCCCGCTTGTCAAGGGTACACAAGACGATTTTGTGCCATTAATCACCACACACTGCTGCTTGCGTTCACAAAGAAAGTCTCCGATCCATGCTATGACACTTCCCCAAATCCTGTACTCTTTCAGTTTAATTCTCACCCTTACATGGGGTACGCTATCGAAAGCCTTGGCAAAATCTAGATAAATATTGTCGATATACCGCCCTGTTCCAAAATTTGAGTACAGACATATTATACTTGAGTAATTGTGTCAAGCAGGAGCGTCCCGGTATAAAACCGTGTTGGCAGTCTTTTACAAGGTTGTCTCGTAATAGATGTTCCATCATGACATCTGTGATAATGCTCCCTAGTACTTTGCACATTCTGCTGGTTAGGCTTACTGGTCTATAATTATTCGTGGAGTGACGATTGCCCTTCTTGAATTTAGACTCGCATTTCCCAATCAATGGGGACCTTTTGCTCATCCAGGCATTTATAGAACAGGATCTTAAAGGGCTCAGCAAGCTCATTTTACAACTCTCTTAACACAGTGCTGCACTATGTCAGGGCCAGGATTCTTATGAATTTTTAGCTTTGACAGTTTATTTTTTATTCCCTCTTCTGAGAACATGATGTGGGTCAGCGCTGTCAAACCATCAATCCTTAAAGATCTTCAAACACCGGAAGATTGTTCGCATTCTCTCTTGCATAACAATAAAACCCTTTGGGTTTGACTTGACCTTGCTTGCAATCCGCCTCTGAAACTCTTTTTCAGCCCTTCTACATTCTGACTTTGCTTGGTTCCTCGATTTGGCATACATCCTCCTGTCCTGCTCATCATTTGTCCTAATACACGTCTCGAATTTCTGAGGGTTTTTTCTTAACTTTGGTTCATGTGTAACGGTCTCCATGTATTCCAGGAGGCACTGGGTTTGGTCTTGGGTATATATTTATCAATCAAATGGTTCACTTTACTGGCTATGATATTCAGCTTAGTGTCTGCATTCTTATATGTTAGCGAGTCAGGCCAATTCATCTCCTCCCATCATAATTCCCCTTGTAATATTTTAACCTTGGTGTTCCAACTTGGCCACCATACCCTTCTCGTTAGTTATGATGATGTCCAGTGGTTTGGGCGTTTGTTCCTCTCTCTAGTGAGTTGGATGTTTAATGTGTTGGAATAGAAATTTATCTCAAAGAGTTTCTACAAAAGGTAGTGGGATTATTAAGGTCATTTGGCATAGTTTCGTTTTTCCAGTCGATGTTCCCATAGTTCCTTTGGTTTAATAAACTACAATTTGGGAATCTGTAGATACTTCCAACAATGAGTAAGTCTCTCCCCTTTAGTTTAATTTTACACCACTTTGATTCATCAAAAACATCCTCCCTCTGCACACTCAACTGTCCGGCTCTAGAGTCTTGCCTAGCATACCCCTCTTGCTGTTGCTTGAAAATGGTTCGTAAATGAGTAATATCCATCTATATTGAACTCTCAATCCTCCTGATCTTGTACAAACTATCTTGAGTAGGGTTCCAAACTCCACTCTTATCAAGGAACGTATCCATATTAGTGTACATGACTTTCAAGCCAGAATTTGTCCTTGGTAACGTCTCTGATTTTAGTAGTGACTCCGGCCTCCCTTCATTCTCTGCAGCTGCCTCCTTTACTAAATTCATTGTGCAGGTATTGTGCCAGGGTATGGTGGCCAAGCTGGAACACCTTGCACCCATTGGCACCAGTCACCACATAACGGTGTCCTTCAGATTTAACTGTTACTTGGTTCATGACAAAACCAGGCCAAGGTTCAGGTATTACAAAAGTAATTACGACGGGATGAGGGGTATCCATTAGCCTGACTCACTAAGATATAAGAACGCCGACACTACGCTGAATATCATAGCCAGTGAAGTGAACCATTTGATGATAAATATATACCCAAGACCAAACCCAGTGTCTCCTGGAATACAAGGAGTTCGCTACACATGAACCATGCAGCAATCGACAAAATTAAGAAGAAAACTCAGAAATTTGAGACGTGGGTTAGGACAAATGATGAGCAGGACAGGAGGATGTATGCTAGATCCAGAAAACATGCAAATTCAGAGTGTAGTAGGGCTGAAAAATAGGTTCCAGAGGCGGATTGTGAGAGGTCAAGACATACCCAAAGGCGTTTTTACCATTACACAAAGTCAAAATTAAAAACGTGAATAGGAGTATTGGACCCGAGGCTTGAGGATGGTAGTTATGCAGATTCTGACCAGGACAAGGTGGAAGCTCTGAACAGTTTCTTTTTCCTCAGTGTTCACAAGAGAGATGAAAACAATCTTCTTGCCTTTGAGGACAAACGGTTTGACAGTGCTGACCCACATTGTGTTCTCAGTAGAGGGTATAAATAAATTGTCAAAGTTAAATGTTCATAAGAGTCCCAGCACTGACATGGTGCATCCCAGAATGCCAAGTGTGACTTTGCGAGACCCTGAAGATCCTGTTCTGTAAATACCTGGATGATCGTCACCCCACAATTAGTTATAGAGCAGTGAGCCTGACCAGCATAGTGTGTTAAGCAATTGAGTGCATTATAAGAAATGCCATGATAGAACATCTACTACAAAACAACCTTGTAAAGGAATGCTAACACAGTTTTATGCCAGGTTGCTCCTGCTCAACTAAATTACTTAAGGTACTGCATGTTTGGACCCAAATTCTGGAAAAGGGTGGCAATATTCTGGTGGATGTTCCAAGAGTTCACAATTCTCACTCCTATAAAGTTTGCCCTCACAGTTTTCTAGACTTGGGGCTTCTTCATCTTTCAGCTGTAACCCCTTGTGGGAGATCAAGATGTCCAAAATTGGTTCTTTTAATTTCTGCTTTTAGTACCCCCAAGTATCTTGGATATCTTCTGAAACTTGTGTAAAAGTCAGGGTGCAATAATAGAAAAGTAGGATTATAATATATATTGTCCTGTAATATACAGGTAAGTAATTAAAAACTCGAAATTTTTTATCTTCCATAAAATTCTTATCCAATTTATGCATTACACAATGTTACTGCTATTCTTTAAATAATTGTTCATGAGAAGTGAAAATATATTTATAAGATCTAATTAAAAAAAATCATAACATAAACATGATTACATACATTATCCTGTAACTAATGTTGCCTTACTAGTGTCTCCTGTCTACTACTATTAACTTAGTGAGGGCACTTATCTCACTCCAACAATACCCAAAATTGCTTTCATATTTTTTATTATTTTTTAGTAACACATATAATAGACAAGCATAAAAGATGTTTAACAGTAAATTTATGAATCATACAGAAAATAGTTATATTATTCAAAACTCTAATACTAATTACGACCACTTGGTGCATCATCTCGCCAAATTACCAATAAAACCTCTTCAATAGAGGCGTTTGTTGGCGAGTAAGTTTCAGCTCTAGAATGTAAACACAAGGACATGATCATCTTGAATGTGTGATGCAGGAGCAACAGCAGTTATCCGTGATCAAGCGTAACGAACCGATCAGTGGCAGAGAGATAAAAATGAAAAGTAAAAGTACAGATGTTCCATCTGTCCTATTGCAGATAATAATCAGTTCATCATGGACTGGGCAAAAATTTGAGTTGTATTTTAAGGCCAAATGGGTCAATTATCTCAATGTATTGTTTTGAGGACATTAGCAATTAGCAGGTTTTCAAAGATTATTTTACGAAATTCATAAACATAACATCTTCATCCATATCTTCAGTTAAAAACTGTATCAAGAATACAATTTTAACTTTGCCAAGTCTGGCCTTCTTTTAATAAACATACCCACAGGGCAAGATAATGAACTACTGGTTAAATTACATCTTGGAGGTTGAAGTTTCCCATATTATTTACCCTCAGACCAAGCACCGTGCTGTGCGCCGTCCATCTCAGTGGCAACAGCATTATCACTCCTTAGCGTGTGTGAAGTTCCTCCAATCACTGCTTTACATTCTGGACATTGAGCTTCTTCCATGGCTCCACTCAGTAATGCAGTAAATATGTCCATTGGGGCATTTGTACCAATACCCTGTTTTAATTTCATTGCCTCTAGAATTTTAAATTTTTCATCCTGAGAGATTCCAAGACCTCCTACATATTTCTCACTCTCTTTCAAGAGATTATGGACCTTAGATTCCAATTCAGCATCAAATTTGACTGTAGGATCCATTAACTTCTCCAACCTTGCTTTAATTTCACGAACTTTATTAGCACTATTAGTGGCAAATTTTTCTTGAAAATTCCAATAAGCAGGAAGAATCTTTAGAAGTTGCAATTCACAGCTCGCCTCATCAACCAATTGTGCAGCAACAATGGCATCTTTTTCCATGACACGCTCAATTATTGCCACCACCCGTGGTTGTAGTCGTTTTCCATGCCTTGACAATGAAAGTTTTGTTTTATACCGATAAATTCTATTAACAGGCAATCCAGAGTTTTCTTCAAACATACGCTTTAGAATACTGGTAGCAGTCTTAAGAACATTGGCTTGAAACTGGATAAGTCTTAATTCTCCTTCATTGACAAAATTTTGCCTTTTCTGCTTACCATAATTATTCATCCCCAGTTTCTTGTGTAGTGTTTTGATGTGTGACATGAAGTGTAGAGCAATTTCTGGATCTGGGGATAAAGATGACGAAAACAAATTACCATACAGAGTTGTGAGGTTTACAAATCAACCAATAAATCAACCAATGAGGACATTGTTGTTTTCAATATAAACTAAGGAAAGGTACATCTTTACAAGTTACAGTACTTAGACAGCACCTGTTAAGTAATCAAACAAACAACTCCTTCAGCTAATACACAGTTTACTGTGTTTAATGTACTGTATATACCAGGGATGTCAAACTTATATTTAATATTATAATACAGTAGTACATGGAATAAAAGTTAGGATTTTGGAAGATCAGATAAAATTTGAGGGTTCCAGGGGCCACCCCCCCCCTTTAGAAGCATTCCCAAAACATGAGCAAAGATCATCTTAGGCCTGTGTAACTCAGATGTCAGCACACGGACACAGGTGCCCCAGACTGGAAACTGGAAACATAAACAGAGTTGTCAATTGTTCTTTGTGGGAATATTATTTCATTCACTCCAGTAATGATACACTGTTTCTTATTATGTTATCGTGAGTAAATGCATCACCGTTAAAATGCATTTCATTACCTATTGTGCTATATATTTGGTATAATTTTTGTTTGTTTGCTCTATGTTTGGTACAAAACAATGTTTGTTTCATAAATGACATGCCTGACATTATACACTCCTCCATACAAATGATTACCGATGACACCAAGATATTTCGGGAAATTAAGAACCAAGCGGACTGTGAAGAACTGCAGAAGGACCTCTGTGGGCTCCAGGAATGGTCGAAGAAATGGCTGCTGAGATTCAATGTCACGTTGTGTAAGAGGATGCACCTGGGCGTACCAGCGATGAAGGAGTATCATATCCAACGGGATGAAGAAACTGCACTAGTTGAGACGTGAGAAGGACCTAGGTGTGTATGTTGACAATGAGCTGAAGTTCTCGGGTCATTGCGAGAAGAAAGAATCAGGCAAATAAATTTTGGGTCTTATAAGAGGTCGTTCAGATATCTAGGCGGTCCGTCCCACGTAATGATGTTCTGGGTGAAGTGCTTCCCATGGAGGTACTATCCCATCTGGTCCCCGAGATATGTTAGGGACTGTCAGTTGGTTGAAAATGTAAAGAGGGCCACCAGACTGTGCCTGCGCCCGGCACTCAGCTACCCAGGAGTGGGCGCCTGGCACTAGCTTATACTACAGGCGGGCAAGGGGAGCCTAGTAGGAGTGTATAACCATCTCAGGGGCACTACTCAGTTAGTGTCATACTTGGGCTGGCGGACCCTCACCCCACAAGGGGTCACAGCTCAAGATTGAAGAAACCGCAAGTCCAAACTGTGAGAGCAAACTTTTTCCAGAGTGAGGGTTGTAAACTCTTGGAACAATCTACCAGAGAGTGTTGTGACTGCCAGTGTGAGCTCTTTCAAGACAAGACTTGACCAACACTGGGCGGGTGCAGGTACATTCAGGGCAGTGCATGCCCAGTATTTGCCAATAGTCGTGACAAGAGACATGACCGATCGCCGAACGTAACGAGCCGATCTTTTGGTGAAGATAAATGAAAAAGGAAAAGTAATCAGAGACGTGACCGATCGCCCAAGCGGCGAACCAGCCGATCAGTGGCGAAGAGGATAAATGTAAAAAAGTAAAAAAATGAGAAAGACCATTCAAAAGCGAATTTATTATTGACTTCGACCTTTATGATAAATATTAAAAATTTTCTAAAAAAATCATTTGCATTTTGATAGTCCCGATATTTAACATTATTTTATAGAATAACAGGTTTGCTTACCATTTGTGAACATATTTAGTTTGAATAAATGGGCAGCTACACGAACGTTTTCTGTGAACCAATCAGCTATTTTAATAGAATATGGGCGTGGCTTAAGGGCCAGGTTAGCATCAAAATACTATAGTGTCACACTGGTTAACACCCTTTCTCACATCTGTCTTAGCTAAGGACGGAAACCAAGACACAATGGTGAGATACACTATACCACCAACAATTCCAATACTCATAGTGTCAAACATTTAACTTACTTCACTCTCTCTGTGATCCCAAAGGAAGGACAGCAGATGCCATCTCCAATAATCACACGGCTCATGATTCTGACCTCATCCATGAACATTATGGATAGGAAGCAAATACACTCGATTTTTTTCGATTCCTGACCTTGACTCTTTACACGAGGATTTTATTTTTAATTACGGTTGTTTCCACAACATGACTGCAGGAACTAGGCAGTAGGCAGCTATCAAACGAGAAAGTACATAGGAAGATATTGGAAGCATAATGTAGTTTAATGATAGTCCTGCTGCTATATGCCCCATTTACACACAATTCCACGATCTCGATTGTTTCTCTTACCATTGACCACAACATACATACTGTATAGTGTTTCTCACTATCAATTTTTTCTTTATTATCATTATTACAGTCTTGTTATTTGTATTATTGTTATCATTATTATTTTATTTTACTTTTATGAATTACTGTATTATTATTATTATTATTAGTATTATATATATATATATATATATATATATATATATATATATATATATTATATATATATATATATATATATATATATATATATATATATATATATATATATATATATATATATATATATATATATATATATATATATATATATATATATAAATATATATATATATATGTAAATATTGTATGTGTATGTGTGTGTATATGCATGTATGTATATGTATATATCATATATATATATATATATATATATATATATATATATATATATATATATCATACAATATATATATATATATATATATATATATATATATATATATATATATTATATATATATATATATATATATATATATATAAAGAAAAATTTGAAGTTCCTGCGATCATGTTGAATAAAATCAGGATGAAATGTTCCAGAGGACTGTGAAAGATGGGGAATCCCATTTGCTTTTTGTTATCAGTGTGGCTGGTGCTGATTTTTCGGGACAAAACATCATGGGCCAGACAGTGTGGGTGGTGTTTTTCTCTGTTTATGTTCCAGTTTCAGTCTGAAGAACACCAATACGACATCTGTTGAGCCTAAGATGATCTTTAACCATGTTTGAGAATGCTGAAACCAATAAAGTTGTTTGCATTAAACACCAAACTGTAGTTTGAAAGTAAGCAGAAAAGCATTGCCAATGAGGAAGAGCAAGACTATCGATTTCAATATGAACTTCTTCTTGTCATTAATAATTTGGAAAAATTTGTGGTGTGATATTAAAGGCGAGCAACGAGAGATGCAGTTTTAACTGAATGTTTATTTGTCTGCAAATAGAAGTTAGATGGTTTGTGATGTTAAAATTTGGAATATTTTTCATATTAGTAGTTGGGAAAGATTGTGAACGGCATTGAATACAGAATGATTTTTAACGTGAAACATGGAAATTTACAGAGACAAGTTTCAGGCTGAAACCAGACTGGACATGTGACCCTGAAATTTTAGCTAGTGAAACCCCAGGTTATAGGAAGTGAGACATCCTGCCCTTTCCAGAAATTTGAGTCCAAGCATGCAATTACATGTTGGTTGGCTGTTTGTAGTGAATCTGTCATGGCATTTTCTTAATGCACTCGTTAACAACACTATGCTGAATCACTGCTCTATAACTAGGTATGGGGAGTGACGATCATCCAAGTATGTTACCAGGAACAGGATCTTCAGGGTCTTGACTGTGCACAACACTTAACGTCTGAATACTCAGTGCTGGGACTCTGCCAGACATTGCTTTTGACAATTTATTTATACCCTCTACTGAGAACACAATGTGGGTCGCTTGCTGTCAGGCCGTTTGTCTCAAAACACAGAGAAAATTTTCATCTCTCTTTAATGTTTACTGAAAAAAAACATATACGTCAGGTCCATTTTTAGTACGACTTTGTAACTTTGAAATGTTTTCTGGATCTAGCAGGAGACACTGGGTTTTGGTCTTGGTATATATTGTCGTGGTTCTTCACTGGCTGTGAATAGCGTGGTGTAAAAGTTTCTTATCTTAGGTCAGGCTAATGGATTGCCTCATCGTCGTAATTACACATGACCTGAACATGGCCTGTTTTAATGAACCAATGTTGATTAAATCTGAAGGACACCATTATAATGATGACCTTAATAGATGCAAATATTCCAGCAATACCATACTGGCTGCAAATAATTTAGTAAAGAGAACATACGAAAAGGAGCAGAATACTAAAATCGAGACACCAGGACAGATTCTGACGAAAGTCATGTAACCGTTCATGATGGGTTGGACTGAGATCAGGAGAGTTCAAGCTGACAGCTGAAAGGCTGAACAGAGCCAGACAGTTGAAGGATGTTGCAGTCAAGAAGTTTGAAAAATTAAAATATGATGGTGGCTGACCAGCATATAAGGCAGACATAAGCTGTGAGACCAAACCCGAACAAAGGAAGCAGATTACAAGTCAAAGTGTTTGGGAGTTTGACAGCAGCTTGACCCAGAAACTGTGAGAGTTGACGTGGCTTCAACCGGCAGAATGTACGAAAATGCCAGAACATTATCTGAATGATGGTATTACGAACGACGCTGAACTGCCAGCGCGGTTTGGTGAAACCAGGGTGAACAATCTGCCAGAAGCACAGCACCAGACAGACAGGCAACACTGGGCAGGTTCGATCGGGGCAGATAAATGCCAGCCCAGCAGTGCGCATGTTTTGAGACGTGAACCGACGCCCAGAAGCGACAGGCCAAGAGGATGGGCGTGAAGTGGTGGTGCAGCAGTGGTCAGAAGGTCTCAGGAAGGACGTGCTGGGGATTGCTGTCTCAATCAATGGAATCGTCATCCTTTCCCATCTTTGTCTTCGGCAATGACATTATGAGACAATCTCAAACTGCGAAGAACTAGTATGAAACTGAAAAAAGGTTGCATGTTCATGTTTTTGTTTGGAAATTCAACACTCGAAAGTCAAAAATTCGCGGTAACATGGTGCAATGACTGAAATGCATTTAATCAACAACGATAGGCTGTGGTTCAATCATTTTTGAAAAATTAGCAGAAATGTATTTATTAACATATTTAAGGTGTGCATTACAGGTTTGGGCGCTAAGACCTACAGGCTTATCCCATGAAAATTACAACTGCAATTTTACATCTATTTAGTCTGTTGATCGGAGAATCTGCATAGCCAGACAGTGTTTATGACAGAAATTCTGTCACTGTTTTGTGCAGTGGTCCGTGAGAGAAAGAGATGTTATATACATTCTATACTCTCTCTCTCTCTCTGTTTGAAATTTTTCATACATCTCAACACCTATATATATATATGTATATATATATATATATATATATATATATATATATATATATATGTATATATATATATATATATATATATATATAACTTTCTTTTATGCTAGTCTAAAAGAGTCAGCAATCGGCGACAATGCTTATAAGATAGTTTGAATCTCGATTACCTTCACTTCGATTCATTGATCAGCATGCATCAGAATTTCTTTGTCGTTGAGTTGATTACAGGTAGTTACCGGCAATTTTCGAGACCGACGATGACGCGATTAACATCGGCTGTGTGTGTGGTGGACAGTGAACGATTTGACGCAGAAGTATGAAAGATGGAGTTCTGTGGATGTGTGTGAGATAGATGGCCAGAGGAGAGAGAGAGGATGTGTGTGTGCATCCTGACCGAAATTGATAACGAAATTGCGCCAACGTCTGGATTGCGTGGCAGATAAGCTGAACGTGGGCGCCAGGCTGATGCTGAACGTTCACCCGGCGAAGGATCGTGAATCGTCATCGGCGTTTGTTTTCACCCGTGATCGGCAGACTACATGCGACGTGAAACGACGGCAGTCAGGTGACAGAAGTTACTGACAGCGACGGGAACGGCGAGCAGGCCTGTCGACGTGCGCTGAAAGCCAGATATGAGCATCGTTCCGGACTGGTCAGATGTCTGAAGTGCGGCATTGAGAGTTGACTGTGAGAGTTGATGTTTTATGCAGCCAGCCTCTCATGACTGTTCCAGTACAATGTTTACAGTGTTACAGTGCAGGATACATTACAGTGTTGATGTTACAGATTACAGGATTACAGTGCAATTATAGTGTGTTGGGATTACAGTGCAGTGTTGCAGCAAGGTGTGAGATGGGCAGGAGGTGGTGGACTGGGAGGCCGGACTA